AGGCATAATGGTTATGGTTTTCACAATGGAATGGTGCAAGACTGGGCTGAATTTCTTGATGGATTACGTTTAATTTTTGAGGAATAAGAAGCCAACAAGAAAAAGAGAAAAAGAGAAGAGGCAATCCAACCAGGTAGAGAGGAAAAAAGAATAAAAATAGATGATGTTATTAGTAGTTTATGTTCAATGTTTTGCATTTTATTATATTTGAATTAATATACATAACATTTCAGTAATATGTAATTTATTTTTAAATTTTAATGATTTTATTTTATTTTTTGTTTTGTATGATGTTATTAAATTATTAAATGTTTTTTGAAGTTTATAATACTCAGGAATTAACATATCTTAGTCAGGAATTAGATATTTTAGATCAAGTATTACAATATATTAGTCAGGAATAAAATTAACTCATTCAGGTTTAAGATAATATTAGTCAGGAAACAGATAATAATAGTCAGTAATTTTATTATCAAATATATATATAGTAATTAAATGTTTTTAAATTTATAATAGGAAAAATTCATGGGAATAATCCCACCTTTCACCCGTTCGTTTTTAATAATCCCACCTTTCAATTATTTTTCAATAATCCCACCTTTAGGTAACTTTTATTTTTATTGGACCCATCTAACTTGAAACCGGCTAACAAGGTAAGCAATTGTGACGTGTACTTGGGTAGTCTGATTTCCCCCCTAAAACATGCCATGTCATCTCTCTCTCCTTCCAACTACCCACGTTAATGTCTGTAGAATTCCTCCCTCCCTCATTAATCACTTGAACAGAGGCTCTGTAAAAAATCTCATCCGCCATAATTGAAGCTTCAACAACTTGAGTACGGTGCCATTAATTGTGGAGCTTCCATCGTTGGTAAAAATTGAATAGCGAAGAACCCCATTTTAGGTAAGTTTTTCGAACCCTGATTTCCGCCTGAAAATTTGCTAAATTTCGAAGTAAATGTCGAACCTTAACCCGAAATTGATGATTTTCCTATATGATTGCAATGTATTTGATACTTATTGTTGCAAATTGTTGTTTATTTGTGTTATGTTGTGATTTTTTTGTCGGTTTATGTGATTTGATTTCGAAACCTAAATGCTAGGTTTTTGTTGTGCTATGATGTTGGTTTTTGTTGAATGTTAATTGTGTTATAGTTGCTGTGAACTTAGGTATGGGTTGTAGTAAAATAACCTTGAAAATGTGGCATGGAGGGGTGTTTCAGCAGCGTGGTAATGGATTGTTGTGTTATATGAATGGGCAAAACAGAACCTTTAATGTAGACCCTGATGAACTATGCTCTTTTTATCTTGTGGAGTTGGTTATGAAGTGTGCTAGATATGATGGTAGAGTTCAGGGGTTTTTATACTTAGTTCCTTGACTGAGTATGGAGGATGGGTTGAGGAGGGTCACAGATGATGACAGTATGAGGGAAATGATAAGGGTAGCAGAGAAGCATAGGGGGGTGGAGGTTTATGCTATGCACTGTGAAAATGACCCAATTCTCTTTCCCAAAAACTACAACCTGCCTCCTCAAAACAGAAGACCCAACCCAAATCTGTGAGAGCCAAAAAACTTCCACCAAAGAGGGGACCACTTTCCCAAAAAGCCCTTATTGAAACTTCCCATAAAGCCCTTGACAGCTCACTTAAGCCAACAGAAAATGCTCCCACTGAACTTATTACCATTCCACCAACCATTTCCCCATCTAACAAAAGTACATGTAGAATAAAATATGTTATAAACCCTAATAGAACACCTGAAATAGCTCACCAAGCTCCAGAAAATGACCTTGTAAACACTTTTGAGTGGGAAGATGCAAGGCCTGAAAGCCCTATCCCCATTAATGATTTGATACCAGAATATAGCAGTGATAGTGACACAGTTGACCCTAGTTATAACCCACTAGTTGACAAAGGCAAAGGAGTTAGTAGCAAGCCTTTCTTTGGAGAAGTGGGTACAGATGACAGTGGGGAAGACTCAGATGACAGTGGGGAAGATGGTGGTGATGTTTTAGTTGAAGATGATTATGCTTCTGAGGAGGTAGAGGATGATTATGAGAAGGAGAGTGAAGAGATCTTGAATGAGGAGCTTCAATATCAGTCTGACAGTGGGGATGAAGAGTACAACATAGCTAGGCAAAGGGTAAGGGATACAACTGCCCAGCTTGTTGATATTGTAAGAAAAATACAAATTGAAGCAGCTCAGGGAATTAAACTACAGGAGGAGGCTGTAAACAGGACAGATGTTGGGGAAGATTTAGGTGGTGAACCTTCTGGCCCCCAGAGTGATTATGAAGAGAGTGATGATGAAATACATACCCCACCTGATAGTGGTGAGGAAGATTTGATTCCTGGAAGGAGAAAAAGACTAGGTTTGTTGGTGTCTAAACAAACAGATTTTTCAAGTTTTGAGTGGAAAGTTGGGCAGAAATTTTCAAACATAGATGATTTCAAGGATGCTGTAGCTAAGTATGCTGTGTTGCAGGGCAGAGATGTGAGTATTGTTGTGAGTAACAAACAGAGATCACAGAGGTTAGGTGTGAAATGCAGAGGAAGCTGTCCATTCTATGTGTATGCTTCCTGGGATAGTAGGAGGGCTACAATAGTTGTGAAGACAGTGAAAGGACTTCACAGTTGTCAGAGAAATATGAAGAGGAACAGGCAACTCAAATCAAGTTTTGTTGCAAAGCAATATTTAGATGTGTTCAAAACTAGGCCACATTGGCCAGCAAAAGACATTATTGAGTGTATAAGGAAGGCATACAGGATGTTGGTGACTAGATACTTTGCCTATAGAGTCAAGTACAATGCCCATAGACTGTTACATGGGTCAATGCATGACCACTACAACAAGCTAGGTGGGTATTTGAAGGCAATAGAGGAATGCAGTCCTGGAACAGAATTGGAGCTTGTCACTGACATTGAAAAGCAGGCTTTCCCACCAATGTTCCAGAGGTTGTTCATCTGTTTTGAAGCTTTGAGAAATGGGTGGATTCAAGGTTGTAGGAAGGTGTTGGCAGTAGATGCCTGTTTTCTCAAGACCTTTTTGGGGGGTCAACTGTTGGCTGCTGTTGGCAGGGACAGTAATGACCAGATGTTCCCAGTGTGCTGGGCTGTTGTTGAAGGTGAAAACAACTCCAGCTGGGAGTGGTTCTTCATGAAAGTTGCTGCTTGTCTAAATCTGGAAGAAGGAGAAGGGGTCTCTATCATTTCTGATGAGCATCAGGTATGATTCCTAACTTATTTCTCAACTGTGAGCTAATTGTATATTCTGTATTGTTTGTATTCTAATTTGAATTCTTTGCCTATTTTGTGCTAATTTGAATTCTGTATTGTTTGTATTGTAATTTGGCAGAGTATAGTGCATAGTGTCTCAACTGTTCTGCCTAAGGCAGAGCATAGACACTGTGCTAGACACATATTTTCTCACTGGCACAAGAAGTATAAAGGAGATGAGCTGAAATTGTTGTTCTGGAGAATTGCTAAGGCATACAATATGGCTGATTACAATGAAGGACAACAGGAGCTTGCAGAGTTAAATGTGGATGCAGCCAATGACTTCAAATTGCATAGGCCTGAATTATTCTGCAGAGCTTTTCTGAATCCAGGAGTGAAGACTGATGCAATTACTTCAAACATAGCAGAAACATTCAATGGGTACATCATTCAAGCAAGGACAAAACATTTGCTCTACATGTTAGAAGAGATAAGAGCTACTTTGATGCAGAGATTGGTGGTGAAAAGGCAAGGTATGATGAAAGTCACCACATTGTTATGTCCAAGAATACAAGCCAAGTTGGAAGTTGAGAAGGCAAAGGCTGCAGAGTGTGAAGTTACTCCTTCATCTGAAACCCTTTTCAATGTGAACTACTACTTAGATCAGCTGGTGGTGGACTTGGAAAGCAGAAGCTGTACTTGTAGGAAATGGGACATGCTGGACATCCCATGTTGCCATGCAGTGGCTTCTATTTTTTTCATGGGCAAGGAACCAGAGATGTATGTGGATCAATGCTACCACAGGGACACTTATTTGTCAGTGTATGCAGGTAACAAAGCAATTCCATTAATGCATTCATTTTTGTCTGCCACTGTAGTTGTCAACTAATGCATTTTTTTTGTGGATGTTGATAGGTTGTATTCCACCAATTCAAGGTGAAAGGCACTGGCCAGTAGTGTCCATGCCTATTGATCCTCCACCAATCAAAATTGGTCCAGGGAGGCCAAGAAAAAATCGAATTAAAGATCCACATGAGAACCCCAACAAATCTGGTTCTTTGACAAGAACAGGGATTGAAATGACTTGTTCTGTCTGCCAACTGAAAGGGCATAACAAAAGGAAGTGCCCTAACAAGGACAATGTGCAGCCAGCTGATCCTGCTCCAAAGAGGGGAAGAGGGAGGCCTCGCAAGGATGCTGAACCTACAGCTACACCTCAACCTACAGCTGCATCTGTGCAATCCACTCAGGCTGATACAACCCACCACTCCCTAACTGCTCAACCTACCATACTTGGTAGAGGGGGAAGAACAATTTTTATGGGTAGGGGATCAAGGGGTGGAAGGTGTAGAGGAGGTGTTGCTGCCAATGCTGGGACAGGAAGAGGAAGGGGTTCACATGTTGCTGGCTCTAGCAGAGGTGCTTCAAGTGGGAACAGGGGAGTAGGAAGGGCCAGGGGTGGAACTAGGGGCAGAGGAAGGAACCAGGTCCCAGCATGTGTAGGTGTCTTCATTGCATCAGATGGATCTGCAATCACTAATGTGAGTGCCTTTATGTTGGCACTATTAGTGTGTCTCATTTTGCTTGCAACTAATGTCTTACTAATGCTAATATGCTACTGTATCTGTTTGCAGACCCAAGGCAATGACAGGAGAACAAGATCATCAAGAACAGCTATGGACTGGTTCCAGTGCAGTCAAGAGAGTCAACGTTCGACCTTGCATCAACCAACTCAGTAGTCATCTAAGTAGTGGCATGAACAATAACTCATTTTGGTGTAATTAAGTAATTAAGTGTTGGTACTTTATTTATGTAATCTTTTGACAACAGTTTTTATTGTTTTTGGGCATATTACAATGTAATGCAATGAACCATGGCAGTGTTCATTTTGTGTAATGCAGTGAACCATGGCAGTGTTCATTTTGTGTTTGTTGGCCAGACCATTTGCAAGCTATTTTGTTCAACATAACAACTTCACCAACTTAATTTGTTCAACATAACAACTTCACCAACATAATTCAAGTTGAAAGCAAATCAATGTAATAATAACTTCCATTAATTCACTGTTACAGTAACATGCCTTGCTACTAAAAAGGTTTTTTCAAAGCCATATTACATGTCACAAATGCAAAATATACAATCATGTCCAAACCTAAACAAGCTTAATGAGTCTAACCTACTATCATCTCCACTCAATATCACTGTCATGCCTTCAAATACACTAACAGAAAAGCAAAGAAAATCCATGACACAAACAGAGCAATGGAAAAGTTTTTTTCATTCCTTGCCGCCTTCATTAGTTCAATTCTAGTGTGGCAAAGCTCCATTTTTGTATCATTCAACTCATCCTCTTTAATATCCAAATTCTTCTCAATTTTTTTCAACTGCTCCTTCATGAAATCAATTTCAATCTCCTTTTCAGCAACTTGTGTATCTTTTTCAAAAACCTAGAATCGTAGATCTTCAAGGTCCATATTGTTAGCATTAACCCACTGAAAGAACCCACAATCACCCTCCTGTAAAAAAAAAATCCCAAAATCAAATTAATTTGAAAGCCCTAATTTGGTTTTCCCAATTGAATAATCTTACAAGTTCAATTCCAAAAACAAAAAATTTGTCACTTCCAACCACACTTACAGGCCAGTTAGGGCATCCGTAGAACTTCTTACCCACATTATCGCCATTCCTCACCCTCCGAATTACGGCTTCAACACCGCATTTGCACTTCAATTTTGGCAAACCCCAACCAAACGACCTTGACGAAGATGATTCACTTGAACCAACGTGCCTACGACTACCCATTGCAACCAAATTTCACTAAGAAGAGATGAATTTGATAGGGGAATTTGCGACCAACAATGGTGTTTTAAGGAAGAGAGGAAACAGAGAAAGAAGAAGAAGAGAAATCAACTAAGGGACGTGGCACTTTTAAATAAACAAAAAAAAATTAAAAAATAAGTAACCGTTAGATTCCACGTAGGCCTAAAACCGGCTAAAACAGGTGAGGTAACCTGTAAGGACCAATAAAAATAAAAGTTACCTAAAGGTGGGATTATTGAAAAATAATTGAAAGGTGGGATTATTAAAAACGAACGGGTGAAAGGTGAGATTATTCCCATGAATTTTTCCTTTATAATACTCGGGAATTAAGAAATGTTAGTCAGGAATTAGATAATGTTGTTCAGAAAACTGATAAAGATAGTCAGTTTTAGGATAATAATATTCAGATATATCATAGCATACAGAAATTTTATTTTTTTATCAAATCAGAAATTTTTTTCTGGTCAGAAATTACAATATATTAATCAGGAAATATATTATTTTAGTCAGGAAATAGATAATGATAATTATTAATTATAGGAATTGGAAAGAAAAGAAATAATATTAAACAGGAAATAGAAAATGACAATCAGGTTTAAGTTAGTAATAGTCAGTTTTAAAATAATTATAGTTAGGTTTACATTATTTTCACTAATATTTTTTTAGGAAATAGGTTTTCATAGGAATAAAATTAATTCAGTCAGGATTCATATAATATTAGTCAGGAATTATATTGTCTGCAACAATAAATTACAAAGCATTTAATAAATTTACAGAACATAGTATACCTATTATACTTGCAGCATCTTCATCTCTTTCTTCATCATCTCTTTCTTCATTTATATTGTCTCCTAAAATTACATTATCTGCTGCATTCATCATTAGTGTTAATATATTTGGATTTCATTCTAAAATTATCAAAAAACTGGATTCAAATTAAAATTTATTTTTCTGCGACATGTAATATATACAATTCGTGAAATATAAATTAATCCTGATTTCAAATTTGATTGGAATATAAATTAATCCTGATTTCAAATTCGATTGGAATATAAATTAAGCCTGATTTTCAAATAAGTCGAAATTAACTACGATCTGAAATTCGATTGGCATTGATTGCTTATAATAAGTCGAAATTAACTCGAATTTAAATACGATCTGATATTAAATCGAAATTTACTACGATCTGAAATTCAATTTGGCTTGCATGCGAATTATAAGTAGAAATTCATATTTCAAATTCAAGAACTATATAATTTTGAAATACAATCTGAAATCATTAACTATATAATTTTGAAATTCTTAAATATGATTCGAAATTGCATACAATCAAAATTATGAACTAAATGTACCTTTTTCAGCAGTGATTGAGCTAGAAATTGATTCAATAGGTGAATCAGAATCTCCTTCAATCATCATTCTATTATTTGATTTCTCCATTTTTTTATGAAATTTGAAGATTTGAATTCTCTGAAATTTGAGAAAATGAAGTGGTTGAAATTCGACGAAATGAAATTTCAATAAATGACGGCGCACGAAATTTTATAAAAATGATGAAAACGAAATCAAAAATTCAGACACTATATAAAATGGCACGCGGGCTTTGGTCGGGTTGATCAGGCCCGCGCCTTTTTAAATAAGGAGCCCGAAGGCCCGCGCCTTTTTAAATAAGGCCCGGACTCACGTGAGTCCAGTCTCACGCAAAATGCTTTGTTGTTTCTAATCATTTCATTTGGCTTTTAACTTCTAAAATTCTCCAATCAAAGTTCTTCTAAGCTGGATTCTAAGTTTTTTTTTTATACATCTTAACATGAAATGACTAATAATCTTGTTTCTTTTACTTAGGGTCTGTTCTCATTGACTGAACTGAATATTTTATAAGAGAAGGAAATTAGGAGCTGAACTGAACTGAACTAAGCTAAACTGAACTAAGCTGAACTGAGCTGAGCTAAGATGAACTGAACTGAACTGAGCTGAGCTGAACTGAACTGAATTTCAACGTAAGAGAACAGACCCTTAGAACAAATGTAATGCATGTATGTGGAAGGTCAAATTTGCAATCAAACCAATTAGAAGCCTCGCTTTACCGGGTTAAACTCGCTCAATGAGATTAAACCTTGTAGCCTTGAGATTTGGTTTCAATACCAACTACGTGTACTTTCATAGGGAAAATCCTTACTTGGGTGAAAATCCTTACTTGTTAGTTATTAATGTCATATTTATTTAAGAGATAATATCACAAATATCTCAGGACATACTAAGCTTTTTCGATCATTTAGTCACTCTTTTCAATCAAGCAAGGAATCAGAACACTACGATGGTCACTACCATGGCATTTCAGTACAACTTTAAAGACCGTGCATCTGCATTTGAGCACCAAAGAATAATTGCATCAATAGAAATCTATGACTCAGACTATGTTTCGCGGTACAGCTGCGTGTGAAGTTGTTTAAATTTGTCTTTAAGCTTCTGAATCTGCATCACAAAACAGAACAACTTCATCAGCTTATCAAAAATCCAAATGGCAAGACCAGAATAATCACAAAAAAGCTTTAGGTGTTACTCGTTTCAGTTCAATCTCCATGTCCCGTTTGCGCTGGTCCAAAGAGCTTCTCAAACTAGCAACGTCAAACATGCTATCAACATTATCTTCAAACTTAGACAGGTCTTCACGCAAACGTTCAGGTAGCTTGTCTACTATTGGCATTAACAAAAAGCAGTTGAACTACAAATGCAGAGCAGCTTGTCAGTTTATTCAGATTGGTGCAGTTTGGTTTAAATTAAAGTGAGGTTCGTTTAGGAAAATGCCAAGCCATAAATTTGCAGTTGTGTTAAGGTTATACTGCACCATGAACGCATCAGTATAATTCATTAGAAGAGTTATACAATCATTTCAAACACAAATATCATATTCCTTCTTTTTTATCATCTTAAATACAGAAAATCAAATTTCTGTCAACCTAAATTTGAGTCCAAAGTTAAGAAATTATTATTACACATGTTCATCTATGGGCAATTTAAAGATTGTAAGGCAAGGCTCTGTTTTTCTTTTTTGCAATACTAGTCTTCAGTTAAAGGTTTTCTAATCAGCAAACATTAGTTTTCAGTCACGTAATTGAATAAAAACATTAGAAAATGACAAATATCAGTTTTTATCTATAAACAGTAAAAATAAACTTCATCAAGTAAAAATCAAGTGAAAATAGGCCCAAATACAACAGTTTACCATTTTCATGTGAAATTTCTTTCCAATGAAATTCATATAATCAATAATTATAGGGTACCTTTTTGGTAAAATGCTTAATACTATAAAACCATAATAGTCATGAGACTCTTATCTGTTGATAGGAAAGGGTAAATATCCCACCTTCTATTAGAAAAAGAGAGAAAATTAAAAAGGTGCAATAAGATGATATGAGAATGTTGAAAAAGGACACAAACCTTTAACTCTGCAGATGCCAAAAAGTACTCTTTTATCCCGTGAAATATTTGCTGTACTAGAGCATAGACAATTCTCTCAGATGAAGGAGCAAGTCTCCGGTTCCAAAGGGTGTTATCCAGCAGGTCAGCCAATCTTGTTTCTGTGAGCTGGGCAGACCCATTGGAGTCCATACCTGAGGGCAAGTGACTTGATTTTGCTGCCAGTTTGGGAGAGTTCTCTGGCTTTTCTTTTGGTGTTGAATCTAGAGAAAAATTAAGAGAATAGGTCTTCAATAAGGGAGTCAAACCTAAAATGAATCACCAGTAGGAGAGCCAGAATTCCTGGAAACTTCAAACCAGGATTACACTAATTACCACCAAGAACGGAAGCATCTGTCGCACTTGCACCAAAAGAATCCAGAAAATGACGTAAACCAGCCCGATTCTGCAGCCAAGATTTAAAAATCTCATGAATTGACAATAAAACCTAGGAGCAGCTTGTGAAAAAAAAAAAAAAAAAAAAAAAAAAAAAAAAAAAAAAAAAAAAAAATCCTTCAACACTAATCACTGTAACTTGAAGAGCTCTGTACAATAGATAAATTCATTGGTAGACTTTGTATTTAACTTGATCAACTCCTTTCATTACGTTGGATATGTTCTCTCAAGAAATGGGATGACAGAAGTAAGAGACAATGCTTACAAGTATGGCATCATATATGTGAAACTATGAGCCTAATCCAGCAATAAAAACACCACATTATAAAGAATAAAATCAATAAATTAATTTCTTCAATGCTAAAACAAGTCAGACCAAAAGTTTCTATCTGAACTTTGTAATAATCTATAACCACATACTACACGTTAATTATCGAAGTTCTTTGTAACAATCAACCGTGTGACACATTTCAACAATTTGACTATGTGTTCTACTCCATCTGAAGCATTTAGATTAATTTAATTCAACAACTATTAAAATTGGAGTCTGTTTCTGCAGAACACAAAAATACTAGTTCATGATCATATTACCTTGTTATGAAGAGACCAAGAAACATAGCGGGTTGTGCTCACCAGATCTTCCATACACCTATTGACAACAGAAAATTAAGCAAAAATAAGACTTTGGTGATATTGGTTTACTATGCACTAGCATTAAACAGCTAACATGCACATGAGCACACATGTTATTCTTAGGAGAGTTATATCATCATCAAATTTGACAGGAGATGACCATAAATTTCACATTTCTCCAATTAATTTAACAGCTCAGAAGCATAGATGCTAGTACATTGACCCTCAAAACAATTTTAATTTAAATAGATTTCCAAAAAGGGGGGGAATATTGGTGAAAACTCAGCATGAGTGTCAAGTCAATTTCTTGATTGAGGCTACACAAACTTCATCATGGTAATTACTATAGCAGATTGAGAAACTAAGTATGATGCCTTGAATGTTAATGCATACTTACTCCTTCATGCATCTTTTTGACTTTTTAAGCTATTCATATACTAAATTTGACCACATTTCAATTTAGTTACTGTTTGATTAATCTCAATTTAGTTACTAAGGGTCAAATTTGCGCGTTGGCAAGCGAAATATCAAAACAATGCATGTATGAAAAAACAGAGGAAGTAGGTCATCAATCAAATGAAAAGACACACAAGAACATTAAAAGAGGTTTCTCAACTAATTAAAGCTAAAGCCATTTTTATGCATAAGATCTTCAAAAACCCAAGAATTGCCCACCAAGAAACCAAATTTTAAATAATTGATAAATATTACTCCCGCTGTTTTTTCAAGTGCCCCATTGTGGTGTGTGCGGAGTTTTAGACAAAAGAGTAAAGTAATATATAATTTTAAGTGTGTTAAGGAATAAATCATTTTGAAATGTAAGATAAAAAATATGAATGGGCGACCACTGGGTAATGTGTGTGTGAGAGAGAGAGATATATTATAAAATGATAGCGGGGTCAAAAGAAAGAGAGAGAAATAATACATAACGTGAGTAGGTTTCTAAATTTGAAAATAGGGCACTTAAAAAAATGGCCACTTTTGGGAAGTAGGGCACTTGAAAAAAAAAACAGAGGAACTAACCATTATTTTGGAGCCTTGCAGGTATTGCAAA